AACAAAGGGTCTAAACTTCCGGAAATTGTATTCCAAATGGCCTATGTTCTGTATTAAATGCTATGTATCCTCCCCCTCCCCTCAGGATGTAGAAACTGTTACTTACAGGATAAAAGTGAACTCAGAAGCAAATACTCTTGTGCTGTAGGGTAGAGGTTCTTCACACAACCAGGAATGAATCTGTAACAAATATTTAATGACACAAACTGAAATAATTTACAATCTGATAAGAAGTACTCTTCTATTCCTTAACTCCAACACCCTTGATTAGTTGGGTTCATTAAATACATCTGTGTCAATATCTTAACAGGGTTTTTTTCTTCCATTTTTATTTATGCCTCTCTTCTGTTTGAGCAAATCATTTCTTTTCAAGTATGTCTTCTTCAGTCACCCTTCTATTTTGCCTTCTAAACCTGGTTATGAATTCACTTCTATTATTGAGCTTCTCTTAACTTTATCCAAATTTGCTATTTATCTCATTGCAGCTTTTCTTCAGTACTTCCTTTGCATAAAAGTAGCCTGAACTTAAATTATATACACTGTCATTTTCACCAGAAGGGCTAGCTAATTTAAAACTTGGGCGTGTTATCTTTTCTTTCCTCAAATCCTGAAGAATATAGGATAGTTTCAGAAATCACTCCCAGCTTTTCTCCAGACTTGGTGGCAACTGATGCTTTCTTCTGACTCTTCCTCTCCTGGAGTGCCGACCTTCCTGCACCTTCCTCGCTGTTGTCACATGGAAAGGCTACAGGATGTTAGACAATGTCAACAGTTCACTGTGTCTCTGGCATGAAATAAATGGAGCAACCAGTATCCAAGAATATTTTTTGCTTGGCTAATTGATTGTATATTTTTCCCTACTTTATGGAATTTGGACTTAGCCCTTCTCATGTTAAAGATTATTCAGAGGCAGGACAGCCATGGCTGTTGTCCTTGGGATGTCCTGCTATAAAATTGGGAGTCATACCTACCTCACAGGGTAGCTGTGAAATTTAAAGAAGTTAACTTTGGTAAAGTCTCTAGCACAGTGCTTGGCACATAGTAGGGTGTGTTAATTTCTTTCCCTTCCCTGCAGGCCATTCACCTGCTCTTCCCTCTACGATTTTCCATAACACAGTTTTTACTTGGAACCAGCCTTCTGCAAAGAGTCTCAGTTTGGTTGTGTACTCCTACAACTACTATTTTTGGCTTGACTTCCCTCTCCAGCTCCCAGTGGTCCAGCCACACAGTCGCCTATTGTACCAGCTGGTTGATGTAAGTCTATCCATCCTCAGAGGAACCTGGTTACTTACCAGTAAGCTGTGTTTCTCTGAAAATGTAGCATCCTTGGTAACGAAACTAGTTTTTTTCTTTTTTTTAAACCATTGATGATGAATCATCTCTAACTTCCTTGTGTAATCCTCAAATTGGAACTAGATTTAGAGAATTTAATTTGTTGTTAACGGTCTCCTAGTTAGTTACTGAGTCCAAGACACATGCTCTGATCAGGTGAAATGTGGAGACCCATGAGGTCAAAATTCTTTTCACTACTCTGAGTGACATGAGATTTAATTATGTAAACTGTCAAGGATGATACATTTTCAAAGAAAACTAAGTTGCTGGTAAGTAACTGGGATTTTTGAGTAATTTTTCTGTAAGTCGATAAATAAGAATCCCACAGTTGTTTTCACCAACAAATGCTTTTGCATTTGAATATTATTTCATAAATGAAAGGAATATGGTTATTAGTTACAGTTTATAGTTAAAGAATGGGATAGGTTTCTAGAGATACCAGAAATATAATGAGGTGGGGATAGACTGTTAGTTTTCTAAATAGGTGATCTCTTAGCTTTCAACAGAAATTGAAGTCTCCATTAGAGAAAATCAGTAAATGTAGTCTGTTCATTCCAGAAACATTTTTTGAGTGCCTACTTTTTTTTTTTTTTTTTGAGACACTGTGCTGAGTACTGTTTCAAGACAGAGGCGAAGCCACACTTGGCTCAGCTGCTTTTGCCCTCAGAGAGCTTATTTCCTTTGTCTTAGTGACTCTTGCGTGACTCAGAACTGAGGCGATGGGATACTGGGGTATGACAGAGGTATGGGATTAGAAGTAGTACTTAGTGTTACAGCCTGTGCTTTAATATTTTCTGTGCTTTGATAAGTTCTTTCTGTTAATGGGAAAAATCAGCTGACTTCATTCAGGATTTGCGGAGTATTTGGTGTATCACCAGAGCAGCCATAAATGAAGCAAAGCCAGTGCTCCTTCTTTCTCATAGTTGAAAGGAATATTCACTCTCTAACCTTATGTGTGACTTTGGGAGTTAGGAGTTAAAGCAGGTGAATAAGTCAGAATTGGAGAGGCAGCCCACTCTCCCTTAAATTTTAAAAGCACCTCTTCCTTCAGAAGCCACAGAATTAATTTATTGCCACCAAATGTAAAAAAAAAAAAATCAGAAACTTTTTAAGAAATGAAAATTGTTTTGTACTTGAAGTCACTGGATAGTATTTGATACTTGTATTTCATAATTATAACCACCTCCACCCCCAAATTTACCCAGTTAAGTAGAAAGAAGGAAAGAAAACTTGGCAGTAGTAATAAGTTGTTGTTGGAGGAGATACTCCTATTACATTGTCTCATATGTCCCTTTTATTTTTTCATTTTTGTTTTTTATTTCTTTTGAGGCAGGGTCTCACTCCTGTCACCCAGGCTGGAATGCAGTGGTGCGGATCACGGCTCACTGCAGCCTTTGCCTCCTAGGCTCAAGTGATCCTCTCACCTCAGCCCCTCAAGTAGCTGGGACTACAGGCACGTGCCACCTTGCCCAGTTAAGTTTTTTGTGTTTTTAGTAGAGACAGGGTTTCCCCATGTTGCCCAGGCTGGTCTTGAACTTCTGGGCTTAAGTGATCTGCCTGTCTTGGCCTGCCAAAGTGGTGAGACTATAGGCTTGAGCCACTGTGCTTGGCCATGCCTCTGTTTTATATAGTAAATACTGCATGGCTGTAGTTGTTATTTTACCCCTTGAGCACTGCAAGGGCAAGAACTACAGTGCAGTGATTAAGATCATGGGTGTTGTAGTCAGACTTTAAATCCAGGTTTTAATCCTGGTTTTGTAATTTGCTTCCTTTCTAACTAGACAAATTATATAACTTCTCTGAACCTCAGTGTCCTCATTTGTGAAGTTTTGATGCAAAAACTACATAAGGTTGTAATGAGGAATAATTAAGATAATGTATATAAGCACTTAGCACAGTGCCTGCAACATAGTACGTGCTCAATAAATGTTAACTGCTTTTTAAATTGGATTATTGGATGGATGGATGAAGGATTGTATTAGAGGCTAACTAACAGGAAGGGGAAAGATTGCAGGTTGTGGAGTGTTAGTAAACTGTTCACACCATCTTATTTACTGGAGTTACGAGCCTTATTAGTATTATCTTTATCTTTGCCTTTTTGGAAAGCAAATTAATGGATGAATCACTGTCACAGTTCTTCCTAACTACTCTATCCTTAAACCTTCACTTCCACTAAGGAAGGAATTATTTTGTGCTGCAGTGACTGTGATGATTAAGAGATTATCCCACTGGCCTGATGCAAACCCAATGCTGAGGGTCAGGTGTGGCCCGTATGCCAGATTTCTACTCTGAATTTTACCACACCTACCTCTGCTATTTTTAAGACATTTTAAATAAAAAATTTAAACCTTTAATATGTATGTGTGTATATATATGTGTATATATATATATATATGTATATATATATGATTTTTTGGTTTCATTTTATTACACTTCTTTTTTGCTCTATTTTCATTGATTGTGAATTATGAATGTATGTCTAGGATATTTTGGAGAAGGCTCTGGAGGACTTACACTTGGGCAGTGGTACTCTTTAAGAAATCATGGATTCGTAGACAGGGTGGAAAGTGCTGTGGTTATTCGGGCACAGATTTTTACCATATTTCAGAGAATCAAAGATGCAAAATTTTTCATATTTTAACATCTGAAACTAACATGCATCTTAGAATCACTGTGATAAGAACACGTATCTTTGTTTAGTTGGCAACATTTTTTTTTCTTAGTGAAACAGAAGGTAATGGTGTGCCTTGAAATCGCTATCATTTTAGATTGTATGAAATATGGTATTTCAAGGGACTACGTGCAGTGACACATTTTAAAAATATGGTATCATGGCAATATAAGGAGTAGTAAGAGCAGGGGCTTCAGAGTCAGACTTTGGGGTTTTAAATTCTAGCCCTATAACCATGTGCAATCTTGGGCAACTTACTTAACCTTTCATTACCATAGTTTTCTCACCTATAAAATGGGGGCTAAGAACAGTAACCCATCTTACAGTGTTATGAGGATTAAATATAAGACATGTAATGTGTTTAAAATAGCCGAGCACATAGAAATTACTTAGTCATATTAGCTAATATTACTAATTCAGAGATTACAGTTTTACAGAATACATTTGCATTTACTTCGTTGTGTTTGAAACTCAAATCCATTACCCTTAATATTTATATGTCATCTGATAATATCAGCAGTTAACACTTGGATTTTTAAAAAGGAAGATAAAGATAAGGAAGATTAAGCTAACAAGTTTTCTTATTCTTGTTAAGTAAGATTGAAGTGGCTTATTTGGTGTATGCATATTACTATTCTATGTGGTTGGAATGTAAGAGACATGAAGGATGAGATAGGAAATGTATAGTGAAAGCATGGAGCAGATAATCAGATTGCTGAAGCTCACATAAGTACAGTTTTTGATTCTTACTGATATTGGTAAGTATGGGAAGGGTTGGAGGTTTTGAAAATTTGCAAAATTTGAAGAATTTTTCACCCTAAGTAAAAGAGAGAAAAGAGAATCCTATTTGGTTTCTATGAATGTAACTATCCTAGGTAAGGACTTTTTTTTTTTTTTCAAAATTAAATAGGTAGGCAGCATCTCTTTACAATATGATGACTACAGCTTAAGGTTGTCCTTCTATTCTTAAGAGTCAATTTTATTTTTTCTGTTTTAGTGTTCGGTGACCAGTGACTTGGATTTTCCAACACAAGTCATCCCATTAAAGACTCTGAATGCAGTTGCTTCAGTACCCATAATGTATTCTTGGTCTCCCCTACAGCAGAATTTTATGGTATGTAAATAAGACATCTTCTGCTTGTTTGATAATAACTTATTTGAAATAAAAAAACATAGATAATTTTATTGTCAAGGTGAATCAATCAAGACAGTATAAATTTTAAAAAGCTAACATAATAATACAAAGTAATTAAAAAATGGATTAATATAGTTTTTTTTAAGGCCTTTGCTGTATTACTCTTTATACTCTCCAAAGGAAAAATGTTAAGCAGTAACCATACCTAGGATTAAAAATACTTAGAAGATGGGCTGGGCATTGTGACTCATGCCTATAATCCCAGCACTTTGGGAGGCTGAGGCAGACAGATCACTTGAGTTCAGGAATTGGAGATCTGCTTGGACAATATGGCGAAACTCTGTCTCTTAAAAAAAAAAAAAGAAGTAGAATTAGCTAGGTGTAGTGGCGAATGTCAGTAGCCCTAAACTATTTAGGAGGCTGAGGTGGAAGGATGGCTTCAGGGAGGCGGAGATGGTAGTGAGCTGATATTGTGCCACTGCACTCCAGCCTGGGTGACAGTCAGACCTATCTCAGGGAAAAAAAAAAGGTAATGAAGCTTATAGTTCTTATCCTTAAAAAAGCCAGTGTCCTATAATCTCAGTCTCTGAGTTTTTGTTAATTGAGAACTTACTATTTAAAATAATTTTAGGTAGCATTTTATTGTGATAATATACATTATGTAATATTCATAGGGCTTATAAAACACAAACTTAAACATATTTCCATAGCTAACTCTGACCCAGTAGCTTTTGTAATAAAATGCTAAGGAGAAACTGAAGCATGTGTTCTTGACTTGTATTGCTAAATAAAAAATACATAGTGTTATTGCTTAATTGATATATAAAGTGGGAAGGCTAATAAAATGTTTATGGAAGTCCTTGGTGAACCTGCTTTAGGAGATTGCTTATTAGATTAAAAAAATAGATATTTCCAATATTTTTAGTAAGTTTTATACTTTGTAGAGTATCAACTTCAATTACTCTTCCATAATTGTGTAAATTTGAGTGTAGTTTGAGAATTACATTGCAAGACCTTAAGGGAAGTTTCACGTTTTCACAGACTGAAATTCTAGAATATGGTATTTAAATTTATCAATAAATATAATTTGTGAATCATCCATGGATTTTGCTGGCCCAGTGTCGGTGACAGAACCAGACCCTGTCTGATTTTGCTGACAAAAGCAGATTAGGCACATAATCTTTATTATAACTAGGATATGTTTTGGAGAGCAGGATGATGTGGATATAATTGGGAAGACAAAATAGCTAAGTGTCACTTAATTTTGGCTTAGATATAAAGAAATCAACTCCTAGTTTAAATGGGATTAGTGCTGTAATCCTAGCACTTTGGGAGGCCAAGGTGAGTGGATCACCTGAGGTCAGGTGTTAGAAACCAGCCTGGCCAACATGGTGAAACCCCATCTCTACTAAAAATACAAAAAATTAGCCAGGTGTGGTGGCACATGCCTGTAATCCCAGCCACTCAGGAGGCTGAGGCAGGAGAATTGCTTGAACCTGGGAGGTGGAGGTTGCAGTGAACTGAGATCGTGCCATTGGGCTCCAGCCTGGGCAACAAGAATGAAACTTGATCTCAAAAAAAAAAAAAAAAGGATTAGTGCAAGTGAAATGAGATGAAAACATGCCTCTAGTGTGTACATAATCTTGAATTTGAATATATGAATACACTAAAATCTACATTTTAATTATATGCCCCTTTTATCCCAATTATTCTTTTCCTTGTCTAAGGTCCTTTTATTTTTATGAACTCTCCAGTTGTCCTAAATTTGTTACCTAGGGATTATTTGAGATTTTTGTCCATACTTCCTGCTTGCTGCTAGTGTGTGTGGCCTTTCCCAGCGTGTTATTCCCTGTGGGCCATGGCCACAGTGGTAGGCCGAGCCTATACCATCTCACCCTTTAAAGAGCAGCTGTGTACTCCCAGTCAGTCTCAGCCAGTCCATTCTGCTTATCAGAACTATCTTTCTAAAATTCTGTTTTTAGCAACTATCTTTTTCAAAGGCCTCTTAAGACTTAGACTTGTCTTCACTTGGAATTGATCTCTTTAAACATGTACTTCAGAACTGTGCAGTCTTTATCTATAATTACTGTCATTTTTATTCTTCGTTGAAAATCCTCTTCCTCCCATGGATGTCAGCTTTCTTTACCTTGAAATCTTAAGTACTCCATTCTCTTAACTTTTCTTTGATTGGCTCTTCTTTCTTCTCTGTTGTCTTCCAAAGCTTGATATAAACTCATCTATCATCTTTACTAGCACTGTCAACTTTGATACTAATCTCATTCATCGAAATATTGAAATATGTTTTTGTAGAATGTTCTTATTTTACATATAAGCACATATCCTTTGGGCATAAACTTTAATGGACCATCAATACTCTTACGTCCCTAGAATTTTATTATATTGGATATCTTAAATTTTTTTTTCTTTTTACCTTAAACTATTTATGAATTAATGGATATCTTAATAACTGGATCATCAAGTGGAATGTGGGAGTCTTAACGACAGTTTTTTGGTATGGGTTTTTACAGTTGATGTTGATACACTATATTTCATTAAGACCACTTCCCTCCCTGTATTGACTTATGAAATAAGAGTGTGCCTTAAAACTGATGATAGCTGGGCATGGTGGCTTATGGTGCCAGACACCTGTAATCCCAGCACTTTGGGACCAGCCTGGGCAGGATAGTGAGATGCTCATCTCAATAAAAAATGAAACAGGAAAATGAACTGATGATGTCTTTTCATAATCTAGAGCATCTTTTTCTTTCTTAGAGGTATGTAAAATAATGGTAAGTTTTAATGATTGATGACAGATTAAGTACAGTATTTTTTCTTGAATTACATTCTTTTTCTGTCAGCAGTTTTTGCAGATACGCTTATTCTTTGCTTTTATTCTATGCTATTATTCTTTGGTAGCTTTTAGAGTTTGCTCTCTGACTAGTATTTTAAATCCGAAGAACTGGGTAAAGACATCTTCATATGAAAAAAAGGTTGTATTTTAGTTATTTCACATTTGATACTTAGAATAAAGCTGCTTTTTAAATATTTTTTTTTCTCTTAGGTGGAAGATGAAACTGTTTTACATAACATTCCTTATATGGGAGATGAAGTGTTAGACCAGGATGGTACTTTCATTGAAGAACTAATAAAAAATTATGATGGAAAAGTACATGGGGATAGAGGTGAGCCATATGCTTCTCTTGGGAAAAGGGGCTAACATGGATACTTTTGTTTATTAAGCATAGGGCTTGAGAAAAATTTTAGTATTAAGTTTTGCACTGAACTGTAAGGGACTGACCCGGGCCCAGGCCTAAAATTTTCAGTATTTTCCCTATTTTTGGGAAAATTAGTTAGGAGGATCATGTTTGCCACCTGATAATTACACATGGTTGGTTATAACTTAAATTATAATAGCAATAACATGTAAATTAAATAGAAATTGAGCATATGTAGATTTAAGATTCTTTAGTAGTAAAATTAGTTAGGATTGGGGCTCTGCTTATGTGGCATATGGAGGCTCTGCCAGCCCCTACTGCTCAAAAATACCTCTCCTCTAGGAACTGTAGTACTTCAACTTCAATCATTAGAGTCATAGGTTCAGTTTTTTTTTTTTTTTTTTTTTTTTTTATGTCCAGGAGGCCGTGTTAAAGTGTCTGAAAGGGTAATAATTTGTAATATCATCATCCATTGTCATTATCTAGTAGAAAGCAGGGTCTGAAGTGATCAGTTAAAGGATGGTAGGAGGCTAAAGCCACAATCAGTTGCTAGAGGATTCAGTTTTATAGTAGAAACCTTTGGGGAGGAGCTATTCCACAGAAAATAGCAGGTATTAAAGATAATTCTGCTTCCTAACTTTGTCTCAGGCTAGTCTTGAAAATCTTACATTTTCCTCCCCTCATTTCAGTAATAATGTTTTAGTGCTAGTGACTAGGCTATGCCTGTTATGTCCAAAGTTGAAAAAAGATCCATAAACTTTTGTCATTACTACTCCTCCTGTGTGATTCTGACATTTGATGAATTTCAGAATGTGGGTTTATAAATGATGAAATATTTGTGGAGTTGGTGAATGCCCTTGGTCAGTATAATGATGATGACGATGATGATGATGGAGATGATCCTGAAGATAGAGAAGAAAAGCAGAAAGATCTGGAAGATCACCGAGATGGTATGCCTGATGATTAGGATTCTGTGTAGCCAATACAGCTTTGTTTTGAAAACAGAAGAAAGAGTAGAAGTAGGGCTTAGTTTCTCTTTTCTTTTTTTCTTTGTTAAATATTACATTGATAGCAGTATAATCAAAATTGCATATTATGGCCGGTCAGGGTGGCTAACACTGTAATCCTAGCATTTTGGGAGGCCAAGGTAGGCAGATAGCTTGAACCCAGGAGTTCAAGACCAGCCTGGGCAATATAGCAAGACCCTCATCTCTACTAAAAAATAAAAAAATGAGGCAGGGAGATTGCCTGAACCCAGGAGGTATAGGCTGCATTGAGCTGTGATTGTGCCACTGTACAATCTGGCTGGGCAATAGAGTGAGACCCTGCCTTAAAAAAGAAAAAGAAGGCTGGGTGTGGTGGCCCACGCCTGTAATCCTAGCAACTTTGGGAGGCCGAGGTGGGTGGATCACTATGAGGTCAAGAGATTGAGACCATCCTGGCCAGCATAGTGAAACCCTGTCTCTACTAAAAATACAAAAATTAGCTGGGTGTGGTGGCGCTCGCCTGTAGTCCCAGCTACTCGGGAGGCTGAGGCAGGAGAATCGCTTGAACCCAGGAGGCAGAGTTTGCAGTGAGCTGAGATTGCGCCACTGCACTCCAGCCTGGTGACAGATCGAAACTCTGTCTCAAAACAAAAAAAACAAAAGAAAAAAAAAAAAAGCATATTACTTGCAACATTATTTTCAGTTTAGTATCTTTGTTTCCTTTGGCTAGGAAGGAACATAATTTTGTGTGTGCTTCACTGGGCATTGTTTTAATATATATATGATATTCATTATATATAAGTTGTATACTAATCAGGTTCATATGCACCAGCTCACTTAATCCTCATAGTGGCTTCATGAGATGGATGTTTTTATTAGATCCATTTTATATTTGAGGGGATAGATTCAGAGAGGTTAAGTAATTTACAAGATTACACTATTAGGAAGAAACAGAGCCAACAGTTGCTGTTCTCTACGTGGCAAAGCTTATGTTAAGGCAGCAAAGAAGAATTTGGTGAGGGAAATAGCAATTTTTTTTTTTTTTTTTTTAAATACGGAATCTCGCTCTGTTGCCAGGCTGGAGTGCAGTGGCGGATCTCGGCTCACTGCAACCTCCGCCTCCGTGGTTCAATCGATTCTCATGCCTCAGCCTCCCAAGTAGCTGGGACTACAGGCGCACACCACCACGCCCAGCTAATTTTTGTATTTTTAGTAGAGATGGGGTTTCACCATTTGGCCAGGATGGGTTCGATGTCTTGACCTCGTGATCCATCTGCCTTAGCCTACCAAAGTGCTGGGATTACAGGCATGAGCCACCGTGCCTGGCCGGGAAATAGCAATGTTTTTTTTGGAGACAGTCTTGCTCTGTTGCTCAGGATGGAGTGCAATGGTGAGGTCTCCACTCGTCGCAATCTCTGCCTCCTGGGTTCAAGTAATTTTCCTGCTTGAACCTATCCCGAGTAGCTGGGATTACAGGTGTTTGCCACCATGCCTGGCTAATTTTTTGTGTTTTTAGTAGAGACAGAGTTTCACCATGTTGGTCAGGCTGGTCTCGAACTTCTGACCTTGTGATCCACCTGCCTTGGTCTCCCAAAGTCCTGGGATTACAGGTACAAGTGACCGTGCCCGGCTGGAAATAGCAATTTCCAAGAAGCATATTTCAGAAAAAGAATTTAAAAAGGCACCTTAGTGATCATCTAGTTCAGCTCCTTCATTTTACAGATGAGTAAACAGACTCAAAAGGTAAAGTGATCACTCTTGGTTACAAAATCAGTTAGTAGCAGAGCTGGGAGTAGAACTTAGGTTTTCTGCTTGACAGTGCTCTTAAAGCTTTTCATATTTGTATTTGAATTTTGTTTTTGACTGACTGGCATTCCACAGACACATGTAAAATATGTGAGAAGTAAGGAAAATACAAAGTTGATAATTTCTTCGAAAATCAGCTTTGTTATAGAGACATACTTGGGTGGAGAAAATCAAAGACCGAAAACTTGTTTATTTCCTTTTTTTTTTTTTTCTTTCATATGCTCCTGTTTAGATAAAGAAAGTCGCCCACCTCGGAAATTTCCTTCTGATAAAATTTTTGAAGCCATTTCCTCAATGTTTCCAGATAAGGGCACAGCAGAAGAACTAAAGGAAAAGTAAGATTTGTTCCTTTGAGGCAATCTTGCCCTGTATGGTATGTAACTCACCATTTTGGTTTATTACAAAGGGAATCAGTGTAGTGGATAAGCCACTACACTGTGTTGACAATGTTTGCAAGATACTTGAAGCAACATATATACCTGTGGTACTCTACATTACAAAATATTTATGTAGATAGAATAAATACATGTGTATAACTTATATAGACATGTAAACCCATATACACATAATTTACAGTAGTACATTTACAGGAAAATTCTCTGGATACCGGTAGAAATTTTAGTACAGTTGGTGTTTAATTAAAACTAATATATCTTTTTCAATGATATATTTGAATATATCAACGAATTTGATCTTGATAACACCATGCATAATGTTTAGTTGGCTCTTTAAATAAAGATTGTTGTAGGTTAGAGGCATTCCGTTGTGCTTCAGGCAAGATAAATATCAAAAGTAACACATGGAAACCTTTAGAAACTTGTTTTCAAAAAAGTGATTTTTGTTTCATGTTTACTTAAATTTTTCTTGGTTAATGTCAGATATAAAGAACTCACCGAACAGCAGCTCCCAGGCGCACTTCCTCCTGAATGTACCCCCAACATAGATGGACCAAACGCTAAATCTGTTCAGAGAGAGCAAAGCTTACACTCCTTTCATACGCTTTTCTGTAGGCGATGTTTTAAATATGACTGCTTCCTACATCGTAAGTGCAATTATTGTACGTTTTCATTTTCTATCTTTGTTGTGGAATTATGTTTTAAAGCAGCTTGGAGAGTGCTATCATTTATTACAACTAGAATTTATTGTTTAACTTTGAATTTGAAAAATATATTTAGATCTGAGTATTATTATTTTTACTTTGTTGCTTGAGGATTGCTCTGAAATCTTTTGCATGTATTTCGTTTGGACTACTATTTTCCACTAATACAGAATTCAGGTCAGCGATTTTTTTTCCCCCCGACCATAAGTGCTAAGCAGTTGTTTCATGATAAAACTGTTATTATAAACTGATAGCCCAGAGCAACATTGTTGATATTGAGGAACAAATTGTGTTGAATAAGAAATTGGCCAAAAAAAGGTTCAGGTAAGTGCTTGTCGATTTAGGGTTTTGTGGTTGTTTTTTTTTTTTGCTGTCTTAGGTAAGTTTTAAAAAATACCTGCATTTGAATACAAGTAAAACAAAACGTTATTAGTGAAATTAAAGGATGGTATATACAATAATACTTTTTCCCCTTGACATTTCTAGACAAGGTGGTTTCTTAGTAAATTTGGTAATTGAATTGTAATTGATAATTGAAACTTTCAAGTGCAGTTTAAAAGCATCAACTACTTTTGAGGCACATATTTTGAAAATGTATTTCATAGTTCCTAGTTTTCCTAGAGTAATTCGCTTATTATAGTTTAGTCTTTCCTATATTGTATTTTACTATGTCTGTCTATGGCATGGTAATTTGTTTAGGAGCTTTGACCCCGTGTAAAATCATTTTCCCCTGTACTAAATGGCCCTGCATTGCTTTGCTGATCCCAGTTCCTGTGCCTACCGTTTACAGATTGATTCCTCCTCATTCACCAATAGTACATCTTTTTAAGCTTGCCCAAGCAGCTGTTCTCACTTCCTCCTAAGTTTTTGCTTAATTTTGCTGCAGCTAATAATTTGTTGAGTGATGTATACATTGGTCTGGAAATGTTTCGTTTTTCTATGTGACACAGTGGTTTAGTTATCTTAAAATGGAAAAAACTTGAAGTAGATTTTTAGAATTATCATTATATTGTCATCTCCTTGTTCTTGTCTGAACTCCTCATCTAGTTTAAACTGATTTGGTGGTTTAAATAATCTGTAGTAGGTCATATATTTGTTGCTTCAGCCAGTGGACAGTTAAGCCCTAGAAATAGTTGTCTTAAATTTCATTTTAATTCCTTTTCAACACCATCAATTTATGAATTACATCCAGTTTTTATTAAAAGTATTGTAAATTGCCGCTGGGCACGGTGGCTCATGCCTGTAATCCCAGCACTTTGGGAGGCCAGGGTGGGCAGACTATGAGGTCAGGAGTTTAAAACCAGACTGCCCAACATGGTGAAACCCCATCTCTATTAAAACATACAAAAATTAGCTGGGCATGGTAGTTCGTGCCTGTAATCCTAGCTACTTGGGAGGCTGAGGTAGGAGAATTGCTTGAACCGGGACCCAGGAGGCGGAGGTTGCAGTAAGCTGAGATTGCGCCACTGCACTCCAGACTGGTACAGCGCGACACTCCATCTAAAAAAAAATAACATTATAAATTGCATGCAGATATCACTGTAGCAGAAGAATAGAGTAGAATCTCTATTTTAGAGTCATTGAAAAGTCCTTCCAATTTGTTGTTTATAGATGTAGCATTTAATAAAGTTTTTTGCTATAAAAATGAACCATAGAAGTAGGACACTACTTTTAAACATTATAGTAGTTTTTTTATTGTGCTGTTTGGAAATCAGCCCAAAACTTTGAGGCTGCAGTGAGCTATGATTGTGCCGTTGTATTCTAGCCAGGCAACAGAGTGAGACCCCCATCTCTTTTTTTTTTTTAAAAAAAAGGTGGGGGGTATGAAAATGTGTACAATGAAGTCTCCCAATGACTTTCTGTTCCCCATGAATCAAATTTTTACTTCACTCCTTCCACTTTTATTAGTAGTTAACCACTTTTATTAGGTCTCTTGTATTGTTTACAGTTTCATTGGCAAGTATAAAGATACTCTTTTTTTTTTCTGACCCTCTTATTTAAATGGTGCCATAGCATTCACGCTTTTCCCTTTTTTTGGGATAAGGATAGGATTTAACATTGTAGATACTAGCCTTACCTGTGTAGGTGCATAGTCTGTGCTATAGGAGGTTCCACAACTTACTGGACTTGTCTCTAATAGTGACCATTTGGATTGTTCTGAGCTTTATGCTGTAATGGTGCCACAGTGAAATCAATCACCTTGCAAATTTGTACCCATTTCATAGAAGTTTGAGTTTTCGTGATGAACTGTTTAGGTATTGCCAAATTACTTCCATGTGGGGCCACAGCAATTTAAAGCCTGACCAGCAAAGTCAGACAGCCCTACCCATAGAAGGTGTTACCAAACTGATTTTGATTTTAAAATTGATTTTATAAGTGAAAAATGGCTTTTAGCATTGATTTTAAATTCTGGTTTTTCCTTGTTTTTTAGTCTCTGCTTCCCACAGGTGATAAGCCTTATTTTAATACCTGTTGTTTTGTTTTTTTTTTTTTCCTTTGAATGAGGGTAGGATCTTGCTATATGTTGAAGAGTGAACTCTTTTTCTTTGTTTTTTGTTTTGTTTTGTTTTGTTTTTGTGAGACGGGGTCTCGCTCTGTCACCCAGGCTGGAGTGTAGTGGTGTGATCTTGGCTCACTGCAATTTCTGCCTCCTGGGTTTAAGTGATTCTCCTGCCTCAGCCTCCTGAGTAGCTGGGATTACAGATGCGCACCACCTCGCCTGGCTCATTTTTGTACTTTTAGTAGAGACAGGGTTTTGCCATGTTGGCCAGGCTGGTCTCAAACTTTTGACCTCAGGTGATCTGCCCATCTTGGCCTCCCATAGTGCTAGGATTACAGGTGTGAGCCACTGCACTTGGCCTGTTTTTATTCTTTTGCTCATAGGTCTTTTTGATATTTTAGGAGCTTTTTTCTATAATCCGGAAATTAGGTTTTTTGAAATACGGGTTGCATTTTTTTCCAGTTTATTTGGTAAAAGTCCCATAAGCAAAGTTTAACTTTCTGAGACAGACTCTTCCTTTGTCACCCAGGCTGGAGTGCAGTGGTGTGATCTTCGCTCATTGCAGGCTTCGCCTCCCGGTTTTAGGCGATTCTTGTGCCTCAGCCTCCAGAGTAGCTGGGACTATAGGCATGTGCAACACCTAGCTAAATTTTGTATTTTTAGTAGAGACGGCATTTCATCATGTTGACCAGGCTGGTCTCAAACTCCTGACCAAGTGATCCACCTGCTTTGGCCTCTCAAAGAGCTGGGATTACAGGCATTAGCCACCGTGCCCTTTCAGTTTAAACATTTTTTGAAAAGTAGTTGAATTTATCAGTTAGCTTTCTCATTTCAAGATTATAAAGAGTTTCTCACTATTTTTTCCAGTATGTTTTCGGCTTTATTTTTTAAACATACAAATCTTTAATCCATTTGGAATTTAATATGATGTAGATTATAAATCTGATTCCTCCTTCTCATCTCCAAAGTTGCCTAGTTGTTTCATTTACTGAAAAGTTCAACTTTTACTGCTTTGAGATATTTTCTTCATTGCCTATTTGGCATATGTGTTTGGTTTTCTCAACATTGTGTTCTTATAGTCTGTCTACAATTTATGAAGCAGCATTCAAAGATCTCCTGGCAATTCTTGTTTTTCTGTACAAATTTATTTATTTTTAGACGGTGTCTTACTCTGTCACCCAGGCTGGAGTGGTTCAGTGGCACAGTCATGGCTCACTGCAGCCTCGATTTCCTGAGCTCAACCAATTCTCCCACCCCAGGCTCCTGCCTAGTTGGGACTACAGGCTTGTACCACCATTGTTGGCTCCTTTCTCCCTTCCCCTTCCCCTTCTCTCCCCCTCCCCTCCTTTCTTCTCTTTTCTTTTTCTTTTCAGGTCTCACTGTGTTGCTCAGTCTTGTCTTGAACTCCTGGCCTCAAGTGATCCTCCTGCCTTCTCCTCCCAAAGTGCTGGGGTTACAGGCGTGAGCCACTGCACCTAGCCTATATACATTTCACCTAGACTATATACATTTCAAAGTCTGTCTAGTTTTTTTTTTTTTTTTTTTAATTATTGGTATGCTTATTGGAATTTCATTAAATTTATAAATGACCTTTTTTTAAAATTTAAGGGTCTGACCATATGGTCACCTCTCTGTGTGTTTTTAAATTATTTCTTTGGTTTTCTTTATATAACTCTTGTAATTTTTTTGTTGAGTATTTCTAGATATTAAACTTGTTGTTGTTGTTGGGCTTTTTCTGCATTCTGTCTTCTGTTTTGTACCCTGCTGCTACCTTACTGCATTGTCTTCATGTTTATCAGTTTCTCCGTGCATTCTTAGGAGTTTTCCAGCTGTTTAATTACACTGTCTGTAGTTATTTATGGTTTTGCCTTCTTACTAGTCTTTATAACTGAAGCTTCTTTCTCTTTTCTACCTACTTATTTATTGTTTGATTGAGTGGGAGGAATTTCTGATTTAAAAAAAACAAAAACCTGGAAAGCCTGCTAGACAAATTCTGAAAGAACTGTAACTGTCTTTTCTACGTACTTTAGCTTGTATTTTCAGTACAGTTTAAAAACTAGTAGCGCTGGTAGAGATAAATGTTCTGTCTCTTCTAGATGAGTTTTGGAAAATTATTCTTTACATTTAGGTTTTGAGACTTAATTGTATAAAGTTTGTGTTCTCTACTGATCATTTTATTTTTGTGAATATTCTTGTTTCCTATGTATTTCATTGTTACTTTTTTGTTAAGTGGTTTATATATTTTATTTAAATTATGTATTTTTTTCTTCAGAGAACCAGCTACAATGTTAGTTTAACTCATAAACAGAAAAATAGTTGTATTCAGGTTCCTAAACGAACGTAATTTAGCACTAAATTAGTCATGGTGTTAGGCTGTCTGGATCTAGTTGCTCACACATTTGGAACAGAATCTGAGCCTTGAATTTTCTTCTTTAAAAACACAACTTTGTCCTATTTTTTTTTCTTTCTTTTCTCATCAGTCTTTAAGTATGGCTTTTTGTAACTATTTAAAAAATTAGTTTTGTGGAAATGTCACTTGTTTTTAATTCAAATTAATTTTCATCTTGTATAATTCTGAATAGTCCATTTCCGGCATTTGCCTTTTGTACATGGGGGAAGCAAGATTTTTACAAGAAATTGTCTGAAGTTTGCACTGCTGTCAGTGTTCACACCATTTTCATGGAGCAGTACATCACCATTTGAATCTTTCTTTTATGTTATTTTGGAATTTTAGGTTTCAAATGGTGTATCTTTCTAAAACCTGTGTGTTGACATCGTAATTTTCTGTGGAAAGACACTGTAAGCTCTCACCAGGTTCTTGGATTGGGTATGATTCAGAGGAACTGAATATTAATAATTGGGATTGTCTTCTTTATCTTTAAAAACGAGTTTTTACAATTGGTATCTCTTTCTGCTTCCCATTTGACAAGCTGATTGCTGACCTTTCTTTTGAAATAAGAAATTGTATGTCAGAATTCTTTTGATTAAAAATAGGAAATCTGATTTAATTGTAGAGGGAATATCAACCGCTTAAAGGGAGAATGATTCAATTTAAGTAAATGTTTATAACCATAGTTATGTGTATCAATTTTACTTGCAAGGAGAAAAAATGAGAAATCACAAATAATTCCAGAATTTACTGTATTTTCTCCCTGCTAAATGGTTGAAGGAAGAGGAATGGAGAATACATTGTGATCATTCAGTAAGAGCTTGAAGGAAAGTTGTATAAAGTAATGTAAACCACATATTAGCAAGATTATAATCTATTAATCTTAATGTTAAAAATAATGAAAAATATTTTATAGTTATATTAGATTCATTATGTTTCATTTATTTTGCAGCTTTTCATGCGACACCCAACACTTACAAGCGGAAGAACACAGAAACAGCTCTAGACAACAAACCTTGTGGACCACAGTGTTACCAGCATTTGGTAAGATTTAGTGCCTTATTATTCCAGAGGGTACTTGAGAGGACTTAATTTTGCACTTTGGTTGAGGTGATCAAGTCAGCGTTAATGTTGTCTGCACCCGTGCTGTTATGGGCCATATGATAGACAGTTTTCTCACCCATGTTGTTTCTTTCATAGCTCATGTACTACACAATTTAGTCTTTCATTAATGTGGTATTATTCTTTTTAAAATCTGTGTTATCTCTTCAGCAACATTTTAAGGTCTTTAGGATCAAGGACTCTTATGCCTTCCACAAAGTCTATGAGAGTGTGAGACACAGATAGTCCACTTACAAACCAGGCAGTCAGTAACCATATACAGTAGTAGATCCCAAGCCCTTCTCATAGCCATATCCCTCTGCTTGAGTTTTAGATGCACTGTCATTTCAGGTGTATGATAGATCCCACAGATTTTTTTTTTTTTTTTTTAAATGATGGAGAAAAGGTAAGGGGTTAGGAAAATATGAGGTAGAAAAGTTGTTTTTTTACGGGTACTCTCTTATTTTTACCATTTCCCCTCTTTGAACCAAGCCACTCCTACCTAGGAACTAAATGGGTATATATTGCCTGTTGGATTTTGGACAGAAGATTCATTGAATGGCACCTGCAGAAGGTATCCTATTTTTAAGCAATTTGGTTTTTGTAGAATGAAGTGTAAGACTGTTGACTGCTGTCAAACTTCTCCCTTCTATTTCCACTAAAAAGAAAAAAAAAATGGAATTCTTGAGCACTGTTTTATGATATTCTTTACAAGGCAGAATTTTGTTTGGCTCATCTGAAATGTTTCTGTGGTCTCTATGAACCATGCTCTTACCATTGTTTTATACTTTGAGACTGGATTACTGTACTTCATAATGCCAAATGTAACCCTCACAGTCTTGTTCCTGAAGTTCTTTTTATGTCTTCCTGTGGCTGTGTATCCTTCACAGGAAAAAAAAAGGTTGGATGTTTTAGTAGTAAGACAGGAAGTGATAAAGTCAAGCATGTTTGTGTTTTGTGTTTTTGTATACTTTAAATATTAACATAAAGATGTATGCAATGTCTTAAACTCTATATAGGTATTCTGACTCCGTGCACATTATATATATGATTCTTCTGTAAAGATTCACTTTTACATAGAGTGTATGTCCATAGAAATAATTGACTTTATTACATGAAGTGTATTTCATACTTTATCTTCTTATATTTTAACTTAATTATAACCTGTTAATATATTTTACAAATTCACAATTTAAAACTATCTTGCCTGATTTTTGTACCATCCTAGGAATATATAGAACCCATGTTTTTCTTTCTGAAATTTTCAGACTATTTAAAAGCAGATCAAAAGAAGTATATTAGACATGCAAATGATTATTTGCGATAAATGTATAATGTGATAAATTTTTTGACTAACTTTGCTTATACAGTATTTTTTTTTTTTTTCTCTTCCATCAAAATGAATTTTAGAACTTTGCCCTGATCTCAACATTTTTTATTTTGTAGGAGGGAGCAAAAGAGTTTGCTGCTGCTCTCACTGCTGAGCGGATAAAGACGCCACCAAAACGCCCAGGAGGCCGCAGAAGAGGACGGCTTCCCAATAACAGTAGCAGGCCCAGCACCCCCACCATTAATGTGCTGGAATCAAAGGATACGGACAGTGATAGGGAAGCAGGCACTGAAACAGGGGGAGAGAACAATGATAAAGAAGAAGAAGAGAAGAAAGACGAAACTTCGAGCTCCTCTGGTAAGACACGTTTAATAATCGGGTTTTACTGTTCTGTGAAAGCTTATAATGTGAGGATTAAGGATATATAATACATTGAATAATTTTCTTAGTTTTCAGTATAATGAGAAATCTAAGACCAGCGCTATCTCAAAAATGTGTAGCTGTATTGCTTCTGTTTCCTGCCTCCACCCCTACCCTAGCTTGTGATGTTTGCCCTGCTTGGTTGTTGGAAAGTTGATGATGCAGTTTATTCTCATTCTTTGTGCCATTTTTCTTTTTCGATCTTTCTCAGCTAGGGAATAATGGAATTCGGATCATTTGGTTTAATATTCTTGGTGTTCTATCAGTAGTTTTGGCTAGAGAGAAAATGTGAACTACTGATAAGTTAGTATTTTACGGATTGGATTTTACTTGTCCTTATCTTTTTGCTTTTTTCTTAAGCACACCCTGAATTTTACTTCTTAATATTATTTCTAGTCATCATTTATTGACCAGTGCTTACATTTGGTTTTGTAGAAGCAAATTCTCGGTGTCAAACACCAATAAAGATGAAGCCAAATATTGAGCCTCCTGAGAATGTGGAGTGGAGTGGTGCTGAAGCCTCAATGTTTAGAGTCCTCATTGGCACTTACTATGACAATTTCTGTGCCATTGCTAGGTTAATTGGGACCAAAACATGTAGACAGGTAAGATATCCGATAAAAATGTTGTTAAAAGAGCCTCAAACATAGGGATAAAAATGTACTCATTGTCCAAAAAAAGAAAATTCTTGGTTATTACTAAGTTCCTATTCATCTCCTAAAAATTATTTTTTCTTCTCAAGAGGGAATTGAATGAAAATTATTCTTCACGTAGGTTACAGAATTTCCCCACTGTAGACATTTAAGGTTAGATTTTAAAAGCTAGTAAGAATTTAAATTGAGCATCACAGTTCTTGACCAGAATATAATTACAGCTACCCCCAGTGTGAGGGTAGAGAGAGTGATGTCTATTATATCCTGAGCATCTAGCAGTGTCACAGAAGAGACAAAAACATTTATGTGGTATGCATGAGTATAAGAATGGTTGGCCTGAATAAGACTGTCCTCATGGCTCTGTGACTGTGCCTCTTGTCAGGTGTATGAGTTTAGAGTCAAAGAATCTAGCATCATAGCTCCAGCTCCCGCTGAGGATGTGGACACTCCTCCAAGGAAAAAGAAGAGGAAACACAGGTAAGTCTGCCATGAACCTCTTAGAGAAGTCAACACAGACAGACGCTGCCCGTGAGGCCCTTCCTAAGGGCTGCTGTTGGTTTCTACTTAGTCTGTTTTTAAAAACCTTAAACTGCCATCAAAAACAGAACTGTGGAATCTTATTTCCACTGGGAATTGCTAGTATTTTTCTATAAGAATACAGCAGCCTTCAGTATATTTGCCATGTTAAGAGTCCTTAAAATTATGGTTACCAGACTGCATTTAGGTAGGTTAAGGAAAACTTACTTAGTAGCTTTTGCAGTAAAGGCTACACAAATAATTAACAACATGAAATGTTCTGTCTTTCCGATGTGAGCTCTGGGCCAGTTTTTAGAAGTATCTTTTATTCTAGGAGCTTGAATTTCTAAGTTGTGTGGCACTCCATTCCGATACTCTTAATAAGGCCTGTGTGAATGTTACCTTTACCTTAGTGAATGTTTTCAGGCTGGTTTGATTTGTATCTGCTCTAATCTCCCTATACCTCCACCTCACATTTTTAAAAACGAGAAACACAATTGGGTAGGTAAGGGTGCAGTTAGATTATGCTTCAAAAATTGTGTACAGGCTCATGTTACATTTTGTTACTTTAAAGAAAGTATAGGGTCAACCCAATTTAGAATTTTAAAAAATCAAGTGTTTTTTCTCCCCCATAAGAATTTAGGCTTTAGGAGATGCTTCTGAATTTTTGGTTGAATTATTTCTGACCATGTAGTTTACTTGATTGGTTAATGATGCCTGAAATTAGAGAAAGTGATCAGTACCATCCACATCAGAATAAATCAACAGACAGACACGCCTACTGCTTTGTACAGCATTGGGAGCTCAGGGGTCCTGACCAGGAGTCATGGATAAACACAGGAAATGACGTCTTGCCACACCTGGGGCAGCCTGAGCCATCAAGCTGTTTGAATTGCCCCAAACTATGGCAAGAATTAGCTGGGGGTGAGCATGACTCTTGGCTTTAACGCACTGTGTGTTCATGGCACAGAGAGATCCAGTCAGGCAGCTCTCTTGGATTTGTAGCTTCCCTGCAGAAGTTCATGTTTCATTTTCTTTGTGTTTTTGCAGGTTGTGGGCTGCACACTGCAGAAAAATACAGCTGAAAAAGGGTTAGCATCTTTCCATTTCCCTTGTCATTGGCTTAACAATGTCTGCTTTGTTCTCATTTGTTTTAGAATAGTAACTGGATTAGAGCTTGGGTTATTCTAATATAATTGCGTTCTGTACATTAAACCAATTTGAATGGAGGATGTCTGTTGATGACCCCAGTTGGTTCTCTTCTGTGAAGTGGAGGCTGATTGGAAGGTGTGAGTCCTAGTCAGTTGAAGGAGGAGTGCTTTGGGATGGGACTGAGATGTAGCCCTGCTCTAGATGGAGCTCACAAGCACTTGGGGGTGGGAGAGTATTTTTGCCATCATTCTGTAAACAGGAATATGTGTAACATTATGCATTCAGTAAAGGAAGGCCAGCTACACTCCACAGGTAGTAGGGAAGAATGTACTCTTGTTAATTGTGTATGATCGTTTCCCATCTCCCTGGATTCATTGGCCTGCATGATGTTATCTTTATTCAGACGGCTCCTCTAACCATGTTTACAACTATCAACCCTGTGATCATCCACGGCAGCCTTGTGACAGTTCGTGCCCTTGTGTGATAGCACAAAATTTTTGTGAAAAGTTTTGTCAATGTAGTTCAGAGTGTAAGTATTTGTTGCTTTGATGCAATTGCATGAGAACTAAATAGGCCTTTGGTCAGCAATTTAAAAAATCAAAAAGTAAGAACACAGGAGCACTCCCTTGTTTACTTTAGGAAATTCATCGATTCTACAGGTATTGATTGAGCCCCATACCTGGCACCATGCCAGTGACCAGTCAGTCGCCTGGGTGTCGTGTGTCTATGTGTATGAGGCAGGCAAAGGTGTATTAAAGGAACCTGAATTTTATTTTTTTCTTCTTTGATCATTTAAATTAAGTCATATTAAAGTCGGCACAGATTGTAAGAGGAATCTAGAAGGAGCTACCCAAATAATTTTTGGGCACCAGAAGTTGTCAGAGTTTAGGAAGGTTTTAGCCTTCAGAATAAAGGAATGTAGCATAAATGTAGGGGATTATTATAATTGTTTAATGAAACTGCACATGAAGCTTGAGTACTAAGGGAGTGTTTAGAACTAGGAGCTATTAGAATTGTCAAGGACCATGGATATTGTTTCATCCAAACCCTTTATTCACATTTACTTTAAATATATACATTATTTAACAAATGAAAAATGGAAAAACAACTCAGTGGTGGTCTTTTTCAGTACAAACAGCTTTAACTTCGCTGTTAATACTTCCATTTCCTTGTCTATACGGTAGAGTAATAAGGTGGTTGTGAGGGTTGAGAGTCAGTCAGATGCTCAGTACAGCCCTTGCGACATATCTTTCTGCAAGTTCTTGCATATGGTGATGATTGTGATAGTGATGGTGTTGATGATGAGTGAAGAACCTCCACACCTCTCTCTGAAGGTCAAAACCGCTTTCCGGGATGCCGCTGCAAAGCACAGTGCAACACCAAGCAGTGTCCATGCTATCTGGCTGTCCGAGAGTGTGACCCTGACCTCTGTCTTACTTGTGGGGCTGCTGACCATTGGGACAGTAAAAATGTATCCTGTAAGAACTGCAGTATTCAGCGGGGCTCCAAAAAGGTGAGCAACAAGTTGCTTCTGGAAGGTTGTTTTTAGTGATACCAATCTTAGGATTGTCTTGGATGATTTCACTAGGGCAGAAAATAAAAGTGATCCTTGAAAGGTGCAACTGATGAGAAAGAAAGTGTTGATAATTTTCTCTGGGTAATGCACTATGGGGCAGTCTCTTCAGTATTCTAGAGAACACCATACTCTGGTGGTGGGAGAAACCAGCAAATTCTGAGAAGTAGCCATTCATGGTATGAGATTTGAAATATAGAGATTTGAATTTCTCTTTAGTATCTTTAATGCAAATAAACGGTGATTTCTATCAAAACACAGACTCATTCTCATCAGATAGTATTTTTAGGTTCCTTACTATGTAGGGTAAATGATGAAATTTCCCATGGCAGGTTTTTATAGACTTAGTTCCTGTTTAATAACCTTGAAAAAAAAACCCAGCCAGGAATTATATATTTGAATTCTGGGAATTGTATGTAGGTAATTTTAACTGTATCAGTCAGGAAGTAATTATTGAGCAAAAGAAACCGCAACAACATGTATTCGGGAAATTTGTCTTTTTTTTTTTTTTTTTGGGGGGGGGTAGATGATAGGTTTTTTTCTTCAGTCAGTTCTTCTTATAATAATAGCTGACATTTATTAAGCATGTAAAAATAGCAGGCACTGTTCTAAGTGCTTTAGTGGATTTGTTCATTGATCCTGACAACTCTGTGAGTGAGGAATATATGTTAACCCCATTTTACGGGTACAGGAAACCCAAAGTCACAAGACTTATAAAGCAGCAGGAGATCAAATCCCCCAGGCTCCCACTCCCATTAACCTGCTCTTATGCTGTGTGTGTGTGTATATGTGTGTTGGGGGGTGTAGAGTAGACATATCTTAGGTTGTTGGACCATTTATTTATGATCAAGATTACACTTTTTACCAGCAAGTCCCCTTCACCCAGAAATTCTGCTCCAGGCAAAACACTGAACTTCTCTTGGTTTTGTTCCCTTGTGTCTTTGAACCAAAGTCTGTGTTTATGGCAGATACCTGTGCAGGGTGGTAGGTTTTTGTTTTTGTGTTTAGCTCTGATTTTTTTCTTTTAGGCATTTAAACCGTTTTACTCTAGGCAGTTATATATCTGTTGAGGTCACTGGATCACGGTGATGCTGGTTCAGTTTCCGATGGCAATACCTGTGCAGACCTAAAAATCTCCCTTTCTCCCCCAAACAACTTGCCATTGCACTGCTTCCTCACTTTGTTCAGAAAGAGGGTAATACTATTGATACTGACATGTCCTCTTTGTAAGACATATTTTAGCTCTTAAAAATGTTAAACTATATAGGTACTTTTTACCAATTGGGTTTCGTTTGCATAGCAGTATTTAGCTATAATTTAGTTTCTGATCAGAAGGGTATTTGGGAAGTTCACCTCACAGGTGAGTGGTAGGATGTTCCAGAATAGGAATAGATTGGAAGCTTGAGTGATCAGGAAGCCTTTGTAAAGGTCATAAGAAAATTTTGAATGAAAGCATAATAATGAGCCATGATGAAAAATTGGCATGTGTTTGGGAACACACCCCTAACTATGTAATTTACTGCAGTGATCATATTGGCCTTTCTGCTGAAAATAGACTACTGGACTGACAAGATCATGCTGCCACCTCTGGGTAGATTTTCATGTTATCCTGAGGAAGTGGGGTGGAAGAACAAATCCAAAAGAAAGCTGCTGTGGGCTTCAGAGGGAACAAATGCCAGTAAAGAATCGGGGTGTCCTTGAGGGCATCTATAACTGGTAATAGATGTCACTTGACGGAAGTAGAGGGAAAGTTTTGAAGAGGAAGAGTGATTTGGTGGTGCCCTTAAATTAAATTCAGGATGAAAGTAAATTACTTAAGGAAATCAAGGGCTGAGGAGACCAGGCAGCCAAAGTGCAGCCGTAATGCAGACAACCAACACCACCAAAAGTTTTTTCTGTAAGACGGTGATACTTCTCTGCTCTGTAAGAAAAACATAATTTTCATACTTAGCCAGCCATTCTTAGCAGCTTTCACATTGACTGAAGCCATGTGCTCCATTACTGCCTTAGAACAGGTCTGAAGATTGACAGCGATAGCTTTGTTTTTATTCTGTAGTCTAATTTGTCCCTAGTCCATCTTTACCCTCTTTTTTGATTATATGATTGTGTTTTATTCTCTAGCATTTATTGCTGGCACCATCTGATGTGGCAGGCTGGGGGATTTTTATCAAAGATCCTGTGCAGAAAAATGAATTCATCTCAGAATATTGTGGAGAGGTAAGGCACTGATCACCTACATTCAGGTGGCATTGTATATAATAACTTTTCTTTATTTTAGATTGATTTCATTAGGTAGGTCTGTGGGTTTGATTGGAAATGAATTGCCATAAACTGCCTTTTCAGCCTGGACTTCTGCAGGTTGTGGATTTGCATGCTTAGTAACTGGATGGTGCTGGGTGCGGTGGCTCACTCCTGCAATCCCAGTACTTTGGGAGGTTGAGGCAGGTGGATTGTTTGAGCTCAGGAGTTGGAGACCAGCATGGGCAACATGGCGAGACCCCATTGCTACAAAAAAATGCAAAAATTAGCTGAGCATACCTGTAGTCCCAGCCACTTGCAAGCTGAGGCAGGAGGATCGCTTGAGCCTAGGAGGTTGAGGCTGCAGTGAGCCATGTTTGTGTCATTGTATTCCATCCTGGGCGACAAAGTGAGACCCTGTCTCAAAGGGGAAAAAAAATAACTGGATTGCTTTGATTCTAGCCATATTTAGCTTTTCTCATCTAGGGACAACAGGGAGAACAAGAGCTTTATCATAGTGTCCTGCTTAAATCCACAACCTAGTTGATAAGGACCTAGAAACAACAGTGTCATTAGTTACTCACCTTTTAAATTGTTGAGTTACAGAAAAATCATAGGGCTAGCTTCAGTTTGGAACCAACTCACCCAATTTGTGTGTCCCATCCCCCCCCCCCCCCCCCCCCCATTTTTAGATGAAAGTTTGCGCTTATTTCCCAGGCTCGAGTGCAGTGGCGTGATCTCTTCTCACTGCAACCTCCGTCTCCATCTCCACGGTTCAAGCAATTCTCCTGCCTCAGTTTCCCAAGTAGCTGAGATTATAGGCATGCACCACCACTCAGCTAATTTTGTATTTTTAGTAGAGATGGGGTTTCTCCGTGTTGGACAGGCTGGTCTTGAACTCCCGACCTCAGGTGATCCACTTGCCTCTGCCTCCCAAAGCGCGCGCGCGTACACGTGTGTGTGTGTGTGTGTGTGTGTGTGTGTGTGTGTGTGTGTGTGTGTAAGTTTAACTCAGCAAAAAGACTTTTGTTTCTTACTTCCAAGGATAATTACTTTGGGATGTGGAAATATTTCTGAGTTGGGGTCCAGTGTGCTGAATGGGAAAGAGAACTTGGCAGTAGTGACCCTTTTTGTTGCGTATTCTCCAGAAGGTCCAGTATTCACTCTGTGAGCTTTTGTGTGTTCTGTCAGGCTTGATCACCTTTATCCAAAAGAATTTTCTCCTGTGTCCTTCTTTTTAGATTATTTCTCAAGATGAAGCTGACAGAAGAGGGAAAGTGTATGATAAATACATGTGCAGCTTTCTGTTCAACTTGAACAATGGTATGTTTTTGAGCTGGGAGGCAGTGATTTCCTCTGAATTGCATGTGGCAGCCTTTTGCCGCATGCAATTTCTGCTTCAGAAATGAAGGTAGAGGTCAGTGAGGTGACCAGAAGGAAGATCTCCGCAAAAGCATGAGGGGCTGCTGGCTGGAAAGGAACTGGAGCAAGGAATTCCTCAGGTAGCAAATACTAGAAAACTGCCTTGCTAGAGTCCCAGCCATCTGTGGATGGTGCTGCACCAGTCTCCAGCTGTGAAGGGGACGTTGTGCTCTGTTGCTGCTCACCTCTTGTGTTCAGGAAGCTCAGCACACCTCCTCCAATCAGTGCTTCTGACCAGGGAGGAGCACTGCAATTTAAAGCATCTTCCAGACTTCCCTGGATATTTTCAAAGGACTGAGAGGAAAGGCAGCTTCTTGCATAGCTGATGTATGTTCTAGGGTAGAGTGTAAGGCTGTAGGGAGTATTTTGGTGGGATTATGTGAAAATGGAGGTTGGCTTAACATGTAAGATATTCAGAGAAACTCTTAGTTGGAAGTAGCAGGTTTTTTCTAAGAATGCTTCATAGACATTAAAATTAATTTTAAATGTGAAAATGCCTATTCTTGATGTTCGGAAGAATTTAGATGTTGTTTTCTTTTGGCCGTGTTTTGCTCAGTAAGATATGTTTATAGTTGATAAGTAATAGCTTTTGAGTCAGATAACCATCTTGAATTACAGGTGATTAAATTTAACCTGTAACAATAAATAGTATGTTCTTCCAAATGTCATTTCTTACATAATGAAGTTGGTTGAATGATTTATTTGCTTTTGCAGGCAAACCCTGAAGAACTATAACCAGTTGCATTTACAGAATCATAATAACTTAATTGACTTAAAACTGAAATTATTCACTGGGTTGTGCTTATTTTTTTTTTTTTTTTTAGATTTTGTGGTGGATGCAACCCGCAAGGGTAACAAAATTCGTTTTGCAAATCATTCGGTAAATCCAAACTGCTATGCAAAAGGTAGGTACCTTTGAAGTCAGAATTGGAGCTCCCTTTTCAATCCTGTGATGATGGACTTGAATACGTCTGGGCTAGTTTGTTATGTGAACAAGCCAGTTAACCACCCATTGCCCGTCTTCATGCTCACTAACACCAGTGTCTCTCTTCCCAGTTATGATGGTTAACGGCGATCACAGGATAGGTATTTTTGCCAAGAGAGCCATCCAGACTGGTGAAGAGCTGTTTTTTGATTACAGGTTGGTAAAGTACATTTCTAGCATGATCTCTAAGGGCTTTTTCTACTGGATTGTGAACTCTGGACAAAGAATATTTTTTAGATGTGCTGTCTTTGAGGTGTGGGGGGTGAATTTTTTTGACAAGTTAGTGTTTGCTATGGGCATTAGTGGGGAATTAGGTTACACTTTCCTCTTAGGTATTCATTATCCATTTATTTATTATACAAGTCATGCTTATTTTAAAAACAGATTAAAATCCATGCAGAAAGCCCCATTTCTCACTCTGCTGTTGACAGCTGGGTGAGTCCTAGACTTTTTCATATTATGCTGCATGCTTGCTTGTGGAACATTTTCCAGAGTAAATGTGATCACACTGTCCTGTAGATTTTTCTGCAACCTGGTTTTACTTGACAGTATACTATGTATATCTTTACTGATGAGATCTACTTAATTTATTGTTTGCTATAATACTTATTACACAGATTATTATTTTAAAAGGTGCTGGTGTCAAATTGCTGCTTGGTCACCCGTGGGTTCTTTCTGGGGGAAAAGCTGGAGGGGAGGTGTTGGCACTTGTGAGCCACCGATGGTTTCTAACTGTGTGATTAGGCATTAGGCTGCCAGTTGATGCTGTCAAGCTCTGTGGGATAAATTTAAGTCATAAATTTAATACAGATTTAAGTGCAATCAGATGACTGTCTAGTTCATGAACTCCTTTGGCCCCATATACATCCCTTCCAGAAGGTGTTTGTGAGTACCGAGTTCTCACATATTCGGACTGGCCTTTAATGTCTGCTGCACAGCCGAGAGCTCTCAGTGAGGCAGATGAGGTCTGAGTGAAAGGCCCCCTTTACCAAAAGGCCACTTCATTCCAGGCCTGCTGTGAATGAAGAGTCGGGGGTGGAGCTGGGGTTGGAGACAAGGCTATCCAGCTTCCTTGGGCTGGCCCAGTGGCCCCACCCCACAGATGGGCTTCTTGTGCTTCTTTCTGGGTGTCTGCTGCACTCCAGTTCTTTTTCACCTGGGGGAGTGACTGACAGCTGCTCTTTGGCCCTCTTTGCTGTGGTCATCGTTCTTTCCAGACCATGGTTCTATTTTGTCTTTCAGTGTCAGGCCTAAACATCATTACGTGCACCTGCCTTCCTGGGGCCACTTGCTTCAGAGGCATAGGGGAAGGCTGGGCAGAGCTCTGGCCAGGTTTGTTCAGTTCAGAACTTGGCAGCATCTCAACTAGATGGCCAGCAACATAGACCAATGCGTTGCTTCTACAAATGTGCCCTTATGCAGGCAGCCATGTAACTGGATGTATGTGTATTTTTTTTTTTCAAAGATATTTAAATGCACTCACTGTATCGAGCAGGCTTTGTTAAGTCTCAGCACATGTTGGATGGGTGGTCATCCACCAAACGTGCTTTTTATGTTGTTTCAGATACAGTCAGGCTGATGCCCTGAAGTATGTCGGCATCGAAAGAGAAATGGAAATCCCTTGACATCTGCTACCTCCTCCCCCCTCCTCTCTGAAACAGCTGCCTTAGCTTCAGGAACCTCGAGTACTGTGGGCAATTTAGAAAAAGAAAATGCAGTTTGAAATTCTGAATTTGCAAAGTACTGTAAGAATAATTTATAGTAATGAGTTTAAAAATCAACTTTTTATTGCCTTCTCACCAGCTGCAAAGTGTTTTGTACCAGTGAATTTTTGCAATAATGCAGTATGGTACATTTTTCAACTTTGAATAAAGAATACTTGAACTTGTCTTTGTTGAGTCATCTCTCAGTGCTTTTAGGACTGTAACAAGACACTTTTAAATTTAACTCGGGTTTTTAGTTGTCTTCATATGAATCGATTTAACAGATACTGCTTGTGGATACGTGGAAGACGGCCATATATGAAGAGCACTACTGTGCACCCTAAGGGCTTACCCAGTAAAGGGCTGGATCTTATAGGCAAGACCAGGGTGGGTATGCTCCGGTCAGCTGTGCAACCTGGAGAAAGTGATGTGACCTCCAAGTCTGTTCCCCATGTATAAACTGACAGAGTAGACTTTGGGGATTTTTAAGAACCTACCTAGTTCTAAACTCCATTGCTCTAGAGTTTTTCAGAAATACAGCAATATAAGTTGGGATTCCTTACTTACCTACAAAACGTGACAGGTATAAAACCAAACTATAGTTTTATATCTTCTCAAAGAAGAGGTAAAAAAAACACAAAAGTGTCAAGGAAATCACATTTACCTTGCATGCCTTGTGATAATGTGGTTGGTTTCAGAATCTGAGGTCCCTTCCCCTCCCCTTCTCCAAGTACGTTCACTAACATCATCGTGGGACCCTCAGAGCTGCTGCAAACCGGTCCACACCATTACTTGGCAGTTGCCTTTTCTACAGTGAGATCAGATTTTAATTTACAATACTCTATTTACTTAATGTGAAACCTAATTAAAGTGACTCACCTTGCTTTCCAATTCCACAGCATTTGCAAGATCAGGTTTCCATCACATCAGTGCACAGACGCAGCAACTGAGTCCTCCAGTGAATCTGCCACCTGATTGGGGATTGAGGAGATCCTGCCTCAGCCTTGTCCTATGTGTTGCTTTTAGTCTCATCCACATCATCTTAATGATAGTGCTGATCTATTTTACTGTCTCCACTGGAGATAGTCTAAATAACTATCTCCACTCTCCACCCAAAAAACGGTATCATCCGCTTAAGAGCTTGTTTCCCTGGATGCCCTCATGTTCCACCCTCAGGACTCAGCAGGACCCTAGGCAGAGTGGGCAGCCATCAAGCTCCTGAGACAGTTACTTCGTTATTTGGGTTAGGTCATTCTCTAGATGCCTCAATGGCCTTGCCTAGGCACAGGCAAATGGAGCCCATCTGTTCATCATTGCCTGTAGGCCTGTTCATGAGACCCCAAAGATGACTTGGGCCCAAAAGTACCTGCTGACACAGCTCATTCCAGCCACAGCCCCCAGCCCATCCGCAAAGGAACATTGGGAAGTGGATCCTTGAAGCCTCCAGTGAGCTCAAGTGTACCAGAGCCCCAAATGCATTGGAAAGAAAGTGGCACTGGTGGAAGGCAGTTTTTGAGTACTGTCTGGTGTATTTTCAATGCACAGCCAACTTCTTATACCGTTATTTGTAATGTACTTCTCTAAATGCCTCTTCAGTGACTCCCATGAACACAGATTTTTCTGAACAGAAATCTTTGAGGTAATAACCCATTTAACCTATGTCAGGCTTGTCTGGTCTGTGGACAGCCAGCTGCATGCAGTCTAATACAAATCCGTAAACTTTCTTAAGACATTGAGGTTTTTCATGTTTTTTGTTTTTTTTTTTTTCCCCAGACAGGGTCTCACTGTGTCACTGAGGCTGGAGTTCAGTGGTGCGATCTTGGCTTACTGCAACCTCCGCCTCCTAGGTTCAAGTGATTCTGGTTTCTCAGCCTTCCGAGTAGCCGGGATTACAGGCACAGGCCACCCCACCCGTCAGATTTTTGTGTTTTTGGTAGAGATGGGGTTTTCCTATGTTGGCCAGGCTGATCTTGAACACCTGACCTCAAGTGACCCCCCCAACCCCACCCTGCAGGTGTGAGCCACTGCTCCTGGCATTTTTTTTTTTTTTTCAGCTCGACAGCTATTGTTTGATACACACATAGGCAGCACCTCACCTGCAGACTGACTTCTGTGGATAAAGCTACAGGCACCTAGAAGCTGTGCTAGGTTTTCATCAGTCCCTGGTTCATCCCGTCTCCAGTCTTCACTGTATCCATCCCAGGTCCTGACTTCCAGTTCTGCCCAGGGTGGTCAGCAACTCTATCAAAAGTCAATCAAATGTAACCCACACATTTTAAGCTTATAGATAGGTTATCAAGACTGGATCCAAAATGTTAACATTTTGAAAACTGTATTCTGTTAAATCTTAATGGAACTAGTTGAAATAATTGCCTATTCCCTCAGTCCCTTGATATAAACAATTCCAGTGAGGGCTACACATGGATGCCTAGTATTAGAAGTCCACACTCACCTGTTTTGGTGAGCGCATTTTCGGGGCTGCCCCTGCACAGGGTCATGAACTGGACAGATGAGCAACGAGGGTATAAAATGCACCTGGGCAGCCAAGTGGCTGATTCCTAGAAAACAGGAAATCGTCTTCATCAGAAGGGGGATTCAATTGAAACAGCTGAAGGCCAGCAAGCATGTTTTCCAACTGAAGGGGATGGTAATTCTAAATTTCAAAGGAAAATTAGGTACTAATATTCATCAAGGAGCAGCATCTTAAAATGCTGTCAGTAAAGATACTTTACAGGCACCTGTTCACCCTGTAACAACTGTTCTCTTACCCCATTATCTGGGGCTCATCTTCAGATTCCTGTCTTGTAGCTGCCTGGCCAGCAGTCCAACTCTCTACCCATGCTTAACAGAGCCCAATCAGGAGACCTACCCCCCGGCCGCTGAGATCAAGGTCCTCCCTTGCCTTGTTCCCTCAGGCCACAGTGATAATCCATAGCTTGTGCCTCTGGTCTTAGTGCACAGCCCAGCTCTGATTAAACCACACTGAATGTTTCTACAAACCAAGGGGTAAAATACTGATTTTATAAAGTATGAGTTAAAGTTGTCAACAGATTAAACCTTTGTTGCTGTGATGCTATTTCCGAACTTTTTGGCCATGATTCCAAGATAATAAGCCTTGGTCCCAGTGGGTAACAACCACACTGTGTAGACCCCCACTAGGATTCAGCAGCCCCAGATTTTTCCCAGGTGTTGGAAAGAGGCTCCCCTATACCTCAAAAAAGGGGTAAAAGCAAGAGTGATAGTGTAAGCACTTCTGGCGTTGGATTAGTTCAATAATACCGGGCTTGGTGATTCTTTGTAAACAATTTTTTTTCCTTTGAGATGGAGTCTTGCTCTGTTGCCCAGGCTGCAGTGCAGTGGCACCATCTCAGCTCACTGCAACCTCTGCCTCCTGGGTTCAAGTGATCCCCCTGCCTCAGCCTCCCAAGTGGCTGGGACTACAGGCGTGCACCACCACAACTGGCCAATTTTTGTATTTTTAGTAGAGATGGGGTTTCACCGTGTTGGCTGGGCTGGTCTCGAACTCCTGACCTCAAGTGATCTGCCCGCCCTGGACTCCCAAAGTGCCAGGATTACAGGCGTGGGCCACTGTGCCTGGCCACAATTTTCACAGTAACAAAATGTCAATTGTATGTGCAATACCATGGTAATTTACAAGTATTTTCTTCAAGAAGAGGGCTTGAGAACTGGGAGGAATGTGGCCTTCCTCCTGGGTTCTAACTATGCTCCCGTGTCGGGACTGAACATCAGAGGGTTTCCAGAAGCCTGGGACACTCTGCCTCGAAGCAACTATGGAAGACTACCACTTACTAGATTGTCCTAAAAAAATTAGAGAATGTCACCCTTTCCATTTCTTACCAAGGGAAATGCAGTCAACCTACATATAAGGGACATATGGACCTAAACACAGGTCTTGGAAAGCCAGTCAGCACAGTACACTTACCCAGTGCAAAGGGGAGCAGGTAAAGGCCAGGAATCTGAAGGTATGGGATGAACTCCGGACTCACCCATCCCTCAGCTCACCTTTGCTTACCAGGAGGAATTTCCATGGGACCAAGTTACTTACCCAAGTGCCTGCTTGATCCCGGAGGAACTGGAGAGACCAGCAAACTCATTGTGACGTTTCCTATCATTCAAAGGACTGAAATATGCAGGCTCTGAAAGTGGGTCTGTGATGTTTCTTTGCAGCATACTTTGCTCACTGGCAGAAAAATTGTCTGGTTTGAGGAAAAGCAACAGGTGAGCTTCACTCCCAGTCTGTCCTGTGGAGCGCAGGGTGGTTTGGAATACCACCTGCTCCTGCCTGGCTTTTATACTGAAACTCTTCACTAGATTGTTTGAAAAAGAAGATATACTCAAAAGAAATGTGGAATCCATTAGATGCTGTTCATTACCATTACTTTTTAACCTATGTAACCTTTGTGACAAGGTTGCTTTGTTGCCCAGGCTGGAGTGCAGTGGTTTTGGCTCTCTGCAGCCCCAACCTCCTGGGCTCAAGTGATCCTCCCACCTCATGAGCGGCTGGGATGACAAATATGTGTACCACCAAACCCGGCTAATTTTTGTAGAGATGGGGGCTCCCTACGTTGCACAGGCTGGGCTCTCTTCAGCTGTTGGGCTGACCAGTGTGAGCCATGGTACCCGGCCCTACGTACCTTTTGAAACTAACCCGTCAGGTGTCTGAGTGTCCTGAGAAAATCCAGAACTTGGGCTTATTTTGTTAGCGATGCCTCCTCAACCCGAATAACCTGCATTTGGGCACAGGGATGGTGTGCTAAGGATGTTCAAGATACATCACTTGTGAAACCCATGAGGTACCTGAAGTTTCTACGAGGAAAAGAGTTCCTGGGAGCAGAGTGGCATCTCCGAGCCTGGCTGGGAAAAGTCTCTGCTGCCACTTCTCCATGTCTTCTGCCCTTTGGCTGGGAAGTGAGTGTCATGGCAAGTGAGAAAGAAGGCAGAAACAACACTGAGACACAGGCAGGCAACATGTAGGACTCCCGGTAGGGCCGGGGGGAGGGGCGCTGCTCCCAGGATGCCCAGGATGTGGTCACATTCGTGCCAGGAGGAGGGGATGGGGTTTGCACCCCCACGGCCCAGGATCTCCTCTCCTGGGGACACACTGGGGCAAACAATCCATTCTCAGGGAGGAATAACTTTTCTAACAAGCCAAGAACAGGGTCCAA